AAACTGCCCCCTCCCACTTTGCTGCTTCAAAGGGAGCCCGGGACGAGGGAATCTGCTTGCAGCCTCGAGCAGCGAAGAGGATCCATGGGTCCCCTCCTTCCCTCCTCCGTGGTTGCTTTGAAGCAGGAAAGTGGGAGAGGAGCTGCTTACACGAGTGTAAACTGCCCCCCTCCCACTTTCCTGCTACAAAGCAATTACGGAGGAGGAATCCGCTGCAGCCTCGAGCAGCGGAGGATCCATGGTCCTCTTCCTTCTCTCCTCCGTAGTTGCTTTGAAGGAGGAAAGTGGGAGAGGAGCTGCTTACACGAGTGTAAACTGCCCCCTCCCACTTTGCTGCTTCAAAGGGAGCCCGGGACGAGGGAATCTGCTGCAGCCTCGAGCAGCGAAGAGGATCCATGGGTCCCCTCCTTCCCTCCTCCGTGGTTGCTTTGAAGCAGGAAAGTGGGAGAGGAGCTGCTTACACGAGTGTAACTGCCCCCCTCCCACTTTCCTGCTTCAAAGCAATTACGGAGGAGGAATCCGCTGCAGCCTCGAGCAGCGGAGGATCCATGGTCCTCTTCCTTCTCTCCTCCGTAGTTGCTTTGAAGGAGGAAAGTGGGAGAGGAGCTGCTTACACGAGTGTAAACTGCCCCCCTCCCACTTTCCTGCTTCAAAGCAATCACGGAGGGGGGAATCTGCTGAAGCCTCCAGCAGCGGAGGATCCATGGTCCTCTTCCTTCCCTCCCTCCTCCGTAGTTGCTTTGAAGGAGGAAAGTGGGAAAGGAGCTGCTTACACAAGTGTAAGCTGCTCCCCTCCCACATTGCCGCTTCAAAGGGAGCCCGGGAGGAGGGAATCTGCTGCAGCTTCCCCCACCTCCCGCAGAAGCCGAACGCTCTTTAAAGGGGCTGTGCGGCTTCTCCTGGCTTTTCTGGGAGGTGGGGGGATTCCCCCACCTCGTAGAAAAGCCCGCAGGAGCCGCGCAGCCTTTAAAAAGGGTGCCGCTCTTGGGGGCTTTTCCCCCAGGAGGGAGAAGGGACTGCTGCAGCCAGTCAGTCCCTTCTCCCTCCTGGAGAAAAGCCCGCAAGAGCGCACGAAGCTTGTGTGCGGCTCTTGAGGGCTTTTCCCGCCTGCCTCCCCCCTGCATTCGCTCCATAGGACGCACACACATTTTCCCTTGCTTTTTAGGAGGGAAAAAGTGCGTCCTATGGTGCGAAAAATACGGTAGTACCTGCACAGTTTTGTGCATCTCTCCCAATGTTGATGCTTGGTAGTTAAAACAGCCGGTTGTGTAAACAAAGAATGATGCTTTTCATTTACCTTATTCATCATGTCCTCATTTCCACATGGTGTTGACCTGCTAACATTTATTCCTGTAAGATATAGTACAACCTGACTCATTTAGTTTAAGAGGCAGGAACTGTAATGAGTTTCAAAGGCCTGCTAAAAACCCACTTGTTTAGCAGGCTTATTATTACAATTAAGCAGTATATAATTTTTATGAAATAAATAAAGTATGCACTGGTCAGTTTTACTGTTGTGAGTTTTTTAAATTGTATATATATGTATTATAGTTGTGATTTTATAGTACAGTGGTGCCTCGCAAGACGAAATTAATTCGTTCCGCAAGTCTCTTCGTCTTGCGGTTTTTTCGTCTTGCGATGCACGGTTTCCCATAGGAATGCATTGAAAATCAATTAATGCGTTCCTAGGGAAACCGCCTTCAGACCAGGTCCGGGGACAGTCTGTCCCCGGACCTCTTCTGAAGGCTGGGGGGGGGGAACAAGGGCTTTTCTTCCCACCCCCAGCATTTTAAAAAACCCTGGGACAGCGGAGGACTTCTCCGCTGTCCGGGGCGATCTTAAAATGCTGGCGGGCAGCATTTTAAAATCGCCCCGGACAGCGGAGGACTTCTCCGCTGTCCGGGGCGATTTAAAAGCCCCTGGGAAGGCAGGCAGGGGGGACAAAGACTTTCGCCCCCTGCCCGCCTTCAGAAGGTGTTCCCGCCCCCCGCCCCGCTTCGGAACAGCGTTCCGAAGTGGGGCGGCTGGGGCGGGTGTCCCCGCCCCCCCTCCCCACTTCGGAACAGCTTTCCGAAGTGGTGCGGCTGGGGCAGTTGTTCCCGCCCCCCTCCCCGCTTCGGAACAGCTTTCCGAAGTGGGGCGGCTGGGGCAGGTGTCCCCGCCCCCCCTCCCCGCTTCGGAACAGCTTTCCGAAGTGGGGCGGCTGGGGCACTTGTTCCCGCCCCCCCTCCCCGCTTCGGAACAGCTTTCCGAAGTGGGGCGGCTGGGGCAGGTGTCCCCGCCCCCCCTCCCCACTTCGGAACAGCTTTCCGAAGTGGGGCGGCTGGGGCAGTTGTTCCCGCCCCCCTCCCCGCTTCGGAACAGCTTTCCGAAGTGGGGCGGCTGGGGCAGTTGTTCCCGCCCCCCTCCCCGCTTCGGAACAGCTTTCCGAAGTGGGGCGGCTGGGGCAGGTGTCCCCGCCCCCCTCCCCGCTTCGGAACAGCTTTCCGAAGTGGGGCGGCTGGGGCAGGTGTCCCCGCCCCCCCTCCCCGCTTCGGAACAGCTTTCCGAAGTGGGGCGGCTGGGGCAGGTGTCCCCGCCCCCCCTCCCCGCTTCGGAACAGCTTTCCGAAGTGGGGCGGCTGGGGCAGTTGTTCCCGCCCCCCCCTCCCCGCTTCGGAACAGCTTTCCGAAGTGGGGCGGCTGGGGCAGTTGTTCCCGCCCCCCCTCCCCGCTTCGGAACAGCTTTCCGAAGTGGGGCGGCTGGGGCAGTTGTTCCCGCCCCCCTCCCCGCTTCGGAACAGCTTTCCGAAGTGGGGCGGCTGGGGCAGTTGTTCCCGCCCCCCCCCTTCGGAACAGCGTTTTAAAATGCTGGGGGTCAGGAGCGAAGCGCTGCCGACCCGCAGCATTTTAAAATCTCCCCGTGTCCCGGGAAGATTTTAAAATGCTGGGGGTCGGGAGCATTTTAAACCCTCCCGGGACACGGGAATTTAAAATGCTGCGGGTCGGGAAGCGCTTCGCTCCCCGACCCCCAGCATTTTAAAACCTCCCCGGGACACGGCGGAGATTTTAAAATGCAGCGGGTCGGCAGCGCTTCGCTCCGACCCCCAGCATTTTAAAACCTTCCCGGGACACGGGGAGATATGAAAATGCTGGGGGTCGGCAGCAGCTTCGCTCCGCCCAGCATTTTAAAACCTCCGGGACAACGGGGAGATTATTAAAATGCTTGGGGTGCGGCAGCGCTTTCCCGACCGCACAATTATCCCTATGGGCTTTCGTCTTGCGATGCAAGCCCATAGGGAAATTCGTCTTGCGGAACGCCTCCAAAAAACGGAAAACCCTTTCGTCTAGCGAGGTTTTCCGTCTGCGAGGCATTCGTCTTGCGGGGTACCCACTGTATATCTTATGAGAATTGCTTAGAGAGTGGTATATTAAGTGCTATATAAGTAGCACTACTAAATAATGATAACAACAACTACAACTTACTGTTAGTGCCAAAGCTGCAATTTGCATGCCACCAGAGCTGCATTCAATTTGAGTTAATAGATAGTTTGCAGCATTGTAATTTCAGCTTGTTTGCCATAACCAGGATGGTTTTCCTCCAGGGCCTCAGCTCTCTCACTCAAGCCAGTTTCCATTGAGGAATAGATAGGGTGACATGACATCCAATGTTAGTTATAAAACAGGTCCATTAAAATCAATGGTCTCAAATTCATTGATTATAATGGGTCTACACACATTACATGTGTGAGAAAGAGAAAGAGAAGAGAGAAAGAGAGAGAGGAAAAAAAACATTATCCACAGACATGGCCTAAAAAGATTATAAATACATGAACAAATATAATAATATAATTTCTAATATAAGCACAGATCATTTGTGTTTATAATAAGCTATTTTAACCTTTCTACATGCTTTAGTCTCTTCAATGGAAAACTGATAATAATTTGTTATTAATGCTCACAAGCTAATACCCAGAAAGCAGTTTCTAATGGAAAAATATTTAAAATTGATAAAGACTATCAGCTTCAGCAGGGCATATTTCCCTGGGAATTTTCTCGTTAACATGAATTCTGAGGCATCTGATCCTTAAATGCTGGCAGCTCACTGTCCCTAGTCTGAAGGAGAGCTACCACAGCATGGCACTCAGCTGTGACCTTAACCGTGCAGCATCTAAATTTAAACTGAGACTGCATTCACACAGAGATCATTCCATTTCCTCAATGTTCCCTTAACTGTGATTTTCCGAATTATAGTTGAGCTTTCACAGAACGTAAACGCCACTTCTGGAAAACCAGTAGAAGATGGTGCGTGTTTAACGCTCATTTGCATGTTAGTTGGTTGCAGAAAAAAATTCTGTTTGCAGTAAAGGGATGGAATTTGGAGCAGTATACAGTTCTTTCCTGTTGTTTGCACAGGGGAATCATGGGGGAACAGATGCCTGCATGTGCAGAAGGGGTGTGAGCATAGAAATATTGTCCAATGACATTTGTTGTTGTGTCACACTGCACCCACTAGTTTGAATGAAATTTAGCACGGTATGCTGGTATATTGGTCAAAAAGCCATAGTTCCATAGCACAACAGGTACTGTGGCGTGAAAGGAATATTAGAAAATGGGACGGAAGTGCTAGTATTATAATCCAGAAAACTAATGCAATATTCCCCACATCTGAATACACCTTGAGATACCTTTGGGGCCGATTCTTACTCTACATTTCATTTATTCAGCTATGTACTGTCCAGTGGAAAACACGTTTTCCTCAGACTTTCAGTCCATGTCCGGTTGCCTCTTCTGAGTGTTTTAAAAGAAATATTTTACTTCAAACCTGACTGGAGGGACAGGTATTTTGTATGTGGGTATTTAGCCCTCAGTGAAGAGCTATCCCTCTGGTGTTATGAAATAGAAATAAACGTCTATTTGTCTGGGAAAGGCAGCAGCAGTGAGGAAATACTTAAGGCCACTTTAGTTGTTACTGATGTATCATCCTCTGTCTTCTGCTCTTTGTGTTTTCTCTGTTCACAGTCTGTGGAAAGCGCTACAAGAACAGGCCAGGATTGAGCTACCATTATGCTCACACCCACCTTGCTAGTGAGGAGGGGGATGATGCTCAAGAGCAGGAGACACGCTCCCCACCTGTCCACAGAAATGAAAATCACAAACGTGAGTAGAATATACATTTCCCTCCTCTTTCTGCCCACCCCCTCCTTTGTGGAGTGCTCCAAATCCACCATCTATTCTTCCTGGGCTACCTTCCTCCTTGCATTTCAGCAGTGGCCACAATTACTTTGCTCCTCTGTGAATTATTGGGACCTGGGCTTTTAGAGGAGCTAATCAACTGCAGCTTTCCCAGGTGCTGAGCTCAGCTAGTCAAAAAATTCAGCTCCAAACCTCACATTAACTCTGCAGCAGGGCACTTTCCATCACTGCTCCCATGGGGCGAACATGTCGAGGGAAGACAAGCGAAAGGGGGAACCCAATCTGCCCATTGTCAAGCCGTTTCACTGTGGTTTAGCTCTGAGAACAAGAAAACACACTTTTTTATTATCTTCTATCTTTGTCTCTTTTCTTCTTGTTATTGTACAAAATTCACTGCACGTTTCCAGTGTCTTTCTTATGTGACACATGATATGATCTCCATAAATATCAAGGGAGCAAGTCGGACGCAAGGGCCTAGGCCTAGATCTGATAATATTTTCTGCTCCAGAAAGCCTCTGGATGTTTCAGAAGGTAATGATGTCCCCCTCTCAACTCTTATTTGAAAGTCCTAAGACTGGTTATTGAGGGGATGCTGATTCTACTGCTGAACGAACAGCCCGGAGACACTTAATCTCTACTGTGCTTTTAGACATATTGAGAGTCTTTTTTTATTTTAAGTGTTGTATAGCTCTCATATGAAGAAAGGCTATAGCAGAATTTATTATAACTGGGGTGAAGTTGTACCAACAGTAACATAAAATCTTTGCTAGGATCAAACTAATATTAATGCTACAAATAAATTTGGAAGTAACAAAGTGCATTCATCTTCATAGCAGGATAAACTACCATAGCTTCTTACCAAGTTAAGGTTAGTAAGCCTCTCTTGAAGGATTGGTTACTGGTTTCTTCCTAGAGGCAGAGTGCTAAACTAGATTAGGTGACTGTTGAATTATATTTAATTGCAGGAATATAAGATGAAGCTGATGGACTGAACCAGGCAGGCAGGCAGGCAGTCTTGTCTTTCTTTTTTTTCTTTTAAAGCAGCAATTGATTGATTGATTGGAATATCAAAATATAGTTACCCTGAGCACCTTAAAAGCAAACTACAAATATTCTCAAGGTGCCCTTTCAAATGTGCAATTCAGTTTGTCAAATAACTAAATGAGATTGTTCAGTTGTTCTTTTTAATAATTATCATTCATTTGCAACCATATCAATTCCCTCAATTCATTGCATGTATCCTTCAAGAGGCTTGCATAGTAGTAGCCCATCCCTTTAAACAGAGACCCCTGTGCCTTATCCAGTACTGGGGGGGAAATACTATCCCCATATTTAGCATACAACTCATTCTCCTATCTCTATATCATAAAATATGTCATTTTCAAAGTTATCAACACTGCTAGGATTTCATACCTCACTGCGTTTCTGCTAGTAGTCATATTTGATCTATTTGAATTCTTGTGGCTATCAACAAATGGCGAACCATTTTACTGTGGTAGGACCTGAACCAATGGATTCAAGTTACAAGAGGGGAAATTCCGACTAAACATCAAGAATAACTTTCCAACAGCAAGAGCTGTTAGAGAGTGGAATAGTCTCCCTCGGGAGGTTGTGGACTCTCCTTCATTGGAAGTTTTTTAAGCAGAGGTTGGATATACCTGTCATGTATGATCTAGCTGAGATTCCTTGTTTCATTTAATGCAGTGAGATTTTGATTTTAATTACAAGCTCTAGCGGTAGTAGTTATACGTGTGCGTGTTTATCCTTCTTTTATGTCCATCTTCCACCTTACTGGTCTATGACTAAAAACATTTCACAAATTGTTCCAGGGATGGGGAAGGAAGACGTTAATGTCAACACAGCTGACATTGGGTTTTCCCCAATGTACAGAACCACCACCCTTATGCTTGCTCCAGGAAATTAAGTCAAGTTGTTTATCACCTCTGTTACATTCTCAAGCGATGGGGATTGCTGAGCATCAAGGGTGCTACCAGACTCATTAGAAATTGATCGTGTTCCTCCTTTTGTGTCTTCCGTCATACTGTGAGCCACAGCACAGTAAACAACACAAACACACTCAAGTCTATACAACTATGTAGCAGGGGCATTTCAGGCTAGCCCTGCACCACAATTCCATGTGGCATTATGCATGCTGTTGGCAGGATGGCTCTGAGGGAAGCTGCTTGTCTTTCACCCTTCCTCACCCTTAGGCTAGGCAGTGGCTTAAAGCCATATTAATTCCTTTAACATTTGTTAATCGCTCTGAGATTTAGGTGCTTAAGAGGGAAGTTTCCCCACCCCCCTTTTCAAATGAGGAAGAGTAGTACCAGAAGTAACACAGAAATCCTCGTAGGCATTTTCTGCTGAGAGGGGAGCCCTGACTGCTTAGTTATAGCAGTACCCCCCTTGTGTTGCAGGAAGCGGCTGGATCAGGGTGGAGTGGGCTTTGCAAACCACCCCACACTACCCCCTGTCACTGCTGCTGCTGCTGAAAACAAGAGAAATAAGCTTGTGGCATTTTTGGTCCGGTGTAAAGGTGGAGGTTTCACAGGGGGTGGCAGGTAGGTGGAGCTGGTGAGTGAAGCGAGCAACAGTGAGCAATTATTATTATCGTCATCATCATCATCCCACTCTGGGTGGCTTCCCGCACATATAAAAACATAATAAAACATAGTCCAAGCTACTTAAATATACAAACACACGCAGTCTTTTAACCATCCTAGTTCCAAATGTTTCAGGGCTTTAACAGTGAGATCTAGGACTTTCAGTTGGACTCAAAACTGGTCCGGCAGTTGATAAAGTAGAATAACATACTCCAAAAGGCCAGCTGCTGCATGCTGTCCCACTTGAAGTGTCCATGTCCTCTTCACAAGAAATGAGACAAACCAAATGACAGCTTGTTGCCTTTTACGGGTAGCCTGTCACAGTGCACAGACTTGCAATGGGGGCAGTTAAACACCATAGGGAGCCATATCCCGTAGCCCAGCAGGGTGGCATAGCTCACCTGCCTTATGAAAGCCAAGCGTCTGTCTTTTGCCTACCCTGCTTTCATCCTTTCAGTGATTTGCACTTTTCCAGCAGGAACATGGCCATTCAGGCCATTCAGGCTGCTGCTATCCCTCTTTATGGTCTCTGTTCACACAGCCTTTGCCTTGAGTTGGTGCTGACCTTTAAAGCCCTAAACGGCCTCGGTCCTGTATACCTGAAGGAGCGTCTCCACCCCCACTGAGATCCAGCGCCGAGGGCCTTCTGGCGGTTCCCTCATTGCGAGAAGTGAGGCTACAGGGAACCAGAGGGCCTTCTCGGTAGTGGGGCCCTGTGGAACGCCCTCCCATCAGATGTCAAAGAGATAAATAATTACCTGACATTCAGAAGACATCTTAAGGCAGCCCTGTTCAGGGAAGTTTTTAATATGTAACACTGTACTGTTTTTAACACTGATTGGGACCCGCCCAGAGTGGCTGGGGAAACTCAGCCAGATGGGCGGGGTATAAATAATAAATTATTATTATTATTATTATTATTATTATTATTATTATTATTATTATTGAGCCCAGCTGCCCACAGCACTTAGGTGCCCCATGCCATCCCCTGTCACAAGCCCCTTCCTATTTTCCTTCACCTCTAGCTCCTTAGCTCTTCCTTCCTTTCCCTTACATGCTGTATCTGCTGGCTCTAAGCACACTCAACTCACGCTCAGCTTTTAACCCTTTCTTAGCTTCTTGAATTCCCTGTGGCTGTGTTAACCACAGCCCCCTTTCCTCTACCTTGAGCTTTCCTCCCAGGTCTTGCTCTTCCTCTGGACCCCACTTCTGGCTGGCTCTATCCACTCATGACCCGCATATCCCCATAAGAAGATGCCTGAGGTGGGCCACTTCACCGGGTGTAGTGGTAGGGTTGGCTCTTAGGTTGATTCTGATGGCTTCTGCAGCTCCTTCAAAAGCCTTCTGTTCTTGGCCCAGTTCTGATAAACTTAGCTTTCATGTGAGATGGGAGGACTGAGTCTGCCCTCCCTGTTCACAATGAAAGCATTTCTCATTTGCTGTTTATGCATGAGCATCTCACCGGCAAAGGACCTATATGCAAAAAAATCCAACTTGTATCGGCTTAAACCAAATTATTTGCACCAACGGATGTTAAATATTTTGTGCAGAGGTCCTATACCTATTGGATATCCATACCAATAGGCCTAGAGGTGTTCATGGTGGGTTGCGTCAGCAACCACAATCTGCTCTCCCACCTTATGCAGCAGGAAATTTATTAGAACTGGTAAAAAGTATTACAGTGGTACCTCGGGTTACATACGCTTCAGGTTACAGACTCCGCTAACCCAGAAATATTACTTCGGGTTAAGAACTTTGCTTCAGGATAAGAACAGAAATCGTGCTCCGGCGGCACAGCAGCAACAGTAGGCCCCATTAGCTAAAGTGGTGCTTCAGGTTAAGAACAATTTCAGGTTAAGAACAGACCTCCAGAATGAATTACGTTCTTAACCCGAGGTACCACTGTATCTGGGAACAGGATTTTACATAGTGCGCTCTTTCAGTCACTCAGACAATCTCCCGCCCCCCTGCAGCCGAAACCTGGCTTCTCTTTGAATGTCTATTTACAGCCTGAAAACCTCTCTTCTTTCACTTATCAGGATTTAATTTATGTTGCCATCCATCTTTCATGTGAATGCTAATTGTTCATATTGCTAATACATAGTAGTTAAGTGGTGCCTTTGTACGCAGGGAGGAGGCAGGGAAAGCCAGAATGCCAGAGCCGTCTACTCCCTAAGTTGGGTGCGTGTTGTGAATCAGATCTGACAGGTCCACAAGGTCACAAGGTCTGGACATCAAGAATCCTCTCTGTATGGCTGTTGGGAAGGGAAGTGGGGGGTGTGTGTGTTAATCCATATGACTAATCTGCAGCCTTCTGAAATGGCCGGAAAGGCCAAATGCACAGTAAATGGCAGGCCGTGA